ACCCCCACGGGCGAGGTTGACTTGCGCAGCGGCTCAGGCTACCGACGCCTGAGTGGAGATGCCGACGACGAAGTCAAAGGCTATGGCATTCGCGGGGCAAACCCGCTACGGCGAAGATGCACGCCTTCTGGTTAGCCCGTCGTTCACTTGATCGCTGCGCACTGCAAGTCTCGCCGCTTGCAGGCCCGCTCGAGCTATTCAGCAGAGACACTAGCAGCCCCCCACAACTTGGAGGACTGTTATCCCGCGATCGTGACCCTGCACGAGTTCCACGCAGGGCCGCTGACACCCATCAGTTGAAAGACATACTTGACTTGGGTGGCCTGAGCATCAAGGTCACTTTGACCAAATATGCTGAGCCTGTTTAAGTCCTTGCCAAGCAAGGATTTTGAAGAAGCCGACTGAGTGTACCCTTTTATGACACATCAGTTGGATACGACAGATGATGGAGCGAGGAATCGTGCACAGTGTTCAGTGGTGTGACACCCGTGATATGACCGCGGGCGGTCACACCAAGGGGAGCATCGACAGAGAAATGTTCCTAAAGGTGATGGGAGGTACACAAACCTTCAAACATACCTTAAAGCGTCATACTCCCTATCGGGCTGGCCAGACATCTCGTTCTGCAACCGCCCGATGAGTACTCGTATGCACAAAATAGTGCAGGCCAGGCAACTTGCGTGCGGGTCCACCTTCCTTGCGGCCCTGCCCTTTTTTGCTGCCCTTTTTGTAACTCGTAGCTGCTGTACCTGCTGTATAGAGGCGACGGGTTCACGCTTCGTCTCCTCCCCCCCCGACTCTAAATTGAGCTGGGTGTTGCATGTGAGTGGGAACGAGCGTGCATCCGCGGCTGGTTGGTTCAAAGCGGCCGGCCGCCCAGAACTGATTACACCTGAGTGCGAGGTGTATTATTTGCCATCGATACCACAACTGCTTGAGATGGCTCGCTTCCTACTACCGGGACTGCCGTTGGTACGGTACAACAGAGGTGGAGCTTGGCTACGCCTAGGGCGAAGCTGCTGGTTGGGCCTCCCAACCCTTTTCAAGCTACCTGTGCCTCTTCCTTCTCCCAGTGGGAGACGTGTGACGTCTACGGGGTCGGGGCCCTCCTCCGTGGGTGTCTCTTGTCCTTGCTCTTCGGGTGAATGCCTGGGCGTCTTTCATGATCTGTGCCGCTGGCCGCAGGTGCACGGCAGCGTTGTGGTCTGCCAAGAGCGCGATTGTTTTCAAATGTGGCCCAACGGGTACTGTCGTTGTTGGAAGGCGGTCTGCAAGGGGGTCGGTCGAAAACCCCGCCACACGGGCAGGGCATTTCCGCAGGCTTACCAATTCGGCATGGGGCAGGCGTCCCAAAACTTGTGTCAGCCTCACCTCTAACGATGTCGCGTCTCCTGGTCTCCCCACTTTTGTCGCCCACGTGACAAGGGTTGCTGCACGGGGCGGGCGCGGTTCCGCACCCACGGGATGCGCCCCCGCCGAGTCCCACGCTTCTGCCGCAGTCTGCAATGTCTCTTCGGTGCCCGACGGTGGCAGGAGGCTGCGGTTTCTGGTGGTCGAGCCACTCCGCGAGGAGAAAGAAGAAAGAAGGCCTCCAGCTCGATGAGGCCTCTGTCCACGCGGGGTCTGGCGACTCCGACTGCCCTCCTGTAGATGGGTGTGGCACACTTCTGCTGAGCCACATACCCCGCCTTGCGAATGGTGGCACGGATTCACCGAGCCTCGGTTCCGCCTCCTTCGTCGCGCTGCGGTGATTTCCATATGCACCGGGTGTGGTGGCACTATTTCTCGGGAGTTGCAAACGCCCGCTTCATGTATGTGCCACTCCGTGGCCCTGCGGCTGGCTGTTGGCCCGTCCCCTTGTCCAGAGAGCGCGCAGGGTTGTAATTGCGGTGCGCGTGCTATTTGACCGCTTTTGCGACTCTCTTTCTCACCCTCGGCGGCGTCCCAGTGATTCATTTGCACGCGTGTTGACTCGCCCGCCCTTTCTCTTGCAATGCTGCGTGGTTGCTGGCGCCATGAACTTGGCTGGGGGAGGAAGAAGCATGTGAGGATGAGGAGGGACAGTTGATGGATGGGGGGCGACAAGATCGGTGATCTCGTGTCCTATGTGGCATCCTACCCTTTACCACTCCCACTGCGTTGAATTATGTTCAATCCTCCGACTGGGGTCCCCCATGTGAAATTAATCCCCAAACCTGCCCCGTCGTGTGATGCGCAGTCAGGCAGGGGAGGGGCCTTTGTAGATTTGAAGAGGATGAGCAGGAAGGCGACCAGGAGAACGAGGATGATTATGAATAGTGATGATCAGCAGCATCAGCAGGCAACTGGAGGAGGAGGAGGAAAAAGAGGAAGAGCAGGAACAGCAAGAGCATGGGAAGACGGAGGAGATGTAACGGGGGGGACAGCAACCACGAGAAAAAAGATCGTATCGATAGTTGCGACCCGCGCTTGGGCGAGAGCGTCGTTCTGAACGGCTAGATCAATGCGCCGATCCTGAAACGCGGCCAACGTTGTAGCAGGAGTAGTGCCCCGTTGGTGGGCGCCCGTGGGCGCCATGTGTTGGGTGTGCCGAGGTTGCGCTTGGTGCCTGCCGTGGTCGCCTCGTGCGCGCTGCGTGCCCTGGATGGGTGTACCGAGCTTGCGCTTGGTGGCTTGCGCTTGGTGGGCGCTTCGCGTTGGGTGGGTGTGCAGAGGTTTTGCCTGGTGGCCGCCCGTGAGTGCCTCATGGGCGTCTCGTGTTGGGTGGGATTGCAGCGGATTCACCTGGTGACCGCCCGCGGGCGCCTCGTAGGCCTCACAGCACATACCTTGTACCACCTAGCTTGCACCGCACACGTAGCTCACAGTCAAGCCAGGCGCCAGGCAACGGCGCATCGGCAAGGAATCGACAGGAGCACGATTGGCTCACGGATTCCATGAAAACATGTTGGCAGGAAACGCGAAAGTGTTGCAGACCTACACTCCATGGAGGCTGGCCCGGTGCACGCACAGAATTCGCGACATGACCTGCATGCTTGCCGAAGTTAAGCGCTGGGGGTGGGAAGAGAGGGAGGGGGGGGGGCCGCAGGGGGAGCGGGAGGGGGGAATCACACACTGCTGCGAAACTGCCTTGCTTGGATCAATCAACATACCAAACAAACGAGTATTTGACTCAGAAAGCACGGATGCGTCAGCGGCGTCTTCGACGACCACCCCGTCACGGCAGAAGCCCCGGACTGAAAGAATAGAGGATTTTGTCTCGAAATGTTGCCCACCAAAACCTTCAATCTCACAGTGCCGCCCTGCAAACTTTGTACACGGCTACCCTTTGAGATATGGCCTTTCAAGCTCAGTAAGATCAACGACCCCTCGTGCGCTTCATTCCGGTCTGGGGTGCAATCAACCATATTGGTGTTTAGAGTTGCCGGCGCAACATCCGAAGTATTTGCTTGTATGTCAGTTTTCTCGCTCGTTGTACTCCAGGACGGCGTCTGCAAAGGTACCGAAGCCATTCCAGAGCAATCTTGCACGCCCATGTTGCAAGTATCAATCATGTCCGTTTGCGTTGCTCGACCATTGCACCGTGAGCGCGGGGGTTTGGGGAGCACTTGAGTTTGGGATGCACGTGAAGCGTAATTTTCCCTCAAACTGTTTATCTGCACTGCCACATCCTTGTCTGACATGTATGATTGAGTTTGGGAAGTGCGGGAAACGTGATTATCATCCAAGATGGTTGTCTGAATTGCCAGGTCTTTGTCTGACATATCGTAAACTGCGGCTTCCGCAAATGATCCATTCCCAGAATTTGACTCACAAGCGGCCTCCCTGTCAAAGAAATCTGGCTCCTTCTTCAGCGATTTCTCGGCACCTGGTTCTTCGCGTCCCTTGCAATATTCATCCAGTTTGTCGATGTTTTTGGCCAGTAGCGCATCAACGTATTGAAAATCATGCAAACTAGTGCGGAACAGAAGTAATTCCATATTGCGCATTCTCTTCTCGATCTCTACGAAAGTGTTGGTGTCTTTCTCAATATGTTGCGCAACATTGTCTGGATCATGCTTCGCTTGAGGAGTAATGCGTGCATCTATGGAATCCAATCGGCGGAAATTTTCAACAAATTGACTCATTACCAAATTTTGAAATTCCACTGTAGCTGCATGCCGCCGCCGGTTGCGCACTGGCCACCACGACTCTTTCCCGGTGAGTCCAAACCTGGAGGGGCAGAGGAGCAACGGTCGATGTCCGTCATTTGGCCCATAAGTTGTAAGTTGTGAGTGCTGTGCTAAAAAGCAAGCTGTGCAGACTATGCTTGATGCTTGATGCTTGATGCTTGATGCTATGCACACACGCTATTTATTTCACAACTGACACTACATAGTTTGCACCGCATAGCTTACGTACACATACACAGTGCACAAGCTTTACTGCTTGCGGCGCACGCAGCAAAGGGGAGGGGATGCGGACGTATGCACGAGGGTCGAGGAATGACGATGACGGTGGATGCCTCAGCGTGACAGAGAAAAAAAACATGTTGGGTGGGACGAGGAGGGAAAAGGGGGGATGAGAGAAGACAGAAAGGAGAAATACGAATGGATGTTGGGCGATGAGTTGATGGAGGATGGATATGGACCAGGGGAGGGAAGGGGGGAGGGGGAAGGGAAGGGCAGGGAAAACAACAATTGGGAGTATGAGGTGGAGGGGTACGAAAGGTTGGTGGAGGCGGACTAGGCGGCGCAGGCGGAGACGGATGACGTGGAGAGGTAGAAGTGATTGAGGGAAGAATGAGGCGGGGGCGGAGAATGATGACATGTGCAGGCAGGGGAGGAAGGGGAATAGGGGGAATGCGGAGGGTAAATGATTGTCGATGGGGCGAGGTCGAAGGATGGCGCGCTGAGGAGGCTTACGCAAAAAAAGGGAAAGAGGGAGTCTGCAGGAGGATGGGGAGGAGCAGGAGGGGGAGGAGGGGGAGAAGCAGGATTCAGATTTTTGCTGGCGGCACCGCGCAGCGCGCGGAACCCCAGGGTGGCCGAGGACCAGCAGAAGAAGCCCTCGCACATGCTAGACCTGGACATCCGAGGGCGGCAAACCCACAATACACGAGCTCCTGTCCTCCGCGGACGGCAAATCTCCGCAAGCGCAGGACCTCCTCCCGACGCCCTGTACTCCCCTTGGGCGTGCGCCGAAGGCGCCACCGTGGGCGCGTGGCGGGGCTCCGGCGCAGACGGAGATCTGCCGTCCGCGGACGACCGAAGTTTGTGTGCTTGCTCTGGCCCCTCGGCGGCAACCTGGGCACCGTCGCCGATGCCGGCCAGGCCACTTCTGGATCCACTATCCATGCGTATGCCTGTCTGGCCAAGCCAAGAGGCCCCCGTACACCGATGTTGGGCCAGGTGTGGGCATGGCCAGGGTCGGTGTTGGGCATGGAGCTGGCGCCCTCCCAGGATAGTCTCGCCTTCCAGCGCGGAAGTCACTTCATGGCCAACACGAAGTGCCAGCTCCCACCAGGAGCATTCCGCGTGCAGAAGAAGGCGGACCTCCCCCAGATCTCTTCCCGCAGAGGATGGGGAAGTGAAGGAGGAGGAGCAGGAGGCGCGAGACAAAGGATGCAGCTGTGCTTTAGTAAAGAATGCCATGGAATCCGCAGCTGGTCCAAAACGCTCCCGTCGCCTTTTCCGAGCGCAGCCTGAAATCGCAACGTAGCGGTTCGTTCAGAGGGCGGCATTCGCGCGGGACCTTTTGCCGGAGCAATTTTGATTCTCAAAGTCGGGCAGTGGCAATTGTCTTCATACGCCACTATTGCGACACACATGTTTACATTTGTCTCGGTTTTCAATGCGGAAGCATTTTTCTGAACGAGACCCTGCATTTCCGATGCGCTTCGTCCCAAGTGGGCGCGTCAGGTTCAGTGGCTTGAAGTAGTGTTAAACACACGTTTAGACAGAATTGCCATCCCCCCGTGGCCTTTCAAGACTCGCTGAATAAAGAAAGACAAGGGGGCGAGGAGGATGAGGAGGAGGAGTCGCAGGAGGAGGGAGATGATGACAAGGAGAGCGGGTGAGGAGGATGAGGACGATGAGGAGGAAAAGAACCGCTGTTCTTACCTTCGTCGTTATTGTTGTATCTTCGTGCGCGAGAGAGTGGGACCTTGCCGAGTCTCCCGCTTACGCGTTCATCCATGTCGCCTTCCTGTCGCCTCTTCTTCCCTACCCTCCTTCCCTTCAAACCCCTGTCCCTTCGCCCTCTGCCCTCCCCCCTCCCTTTTGCATTTCCTGCTCTCCCCCCCTGTGCCCCGTACCCTCTGCTCTTATCCCGTGCCTTCCCCGCTCCCACCCGCACTTCCTTCCCAATCCCCTCTTAACCCCACCCGTCCACTTCCCCGTATCCCTCCATCTCCCTCTCCCGTCTCCATCCCGCTGTAAGGCGCCTTTCTATCCAGTGGCATTCGGCCCGGCCCGCCACCTCGCCTGGGTCGTGGACAAGACGCCTCGTAGAGCGCTCATGGGGCCTCTCGCGAGGTGTTCGGGTGTTTCTTGGAGGACTCTTGAGCGCCTCTTGGGGGCCTCTTGGACGTAATTAGCGGGCATCCTCGGGGCCCCTTGACAGCCTCTCGGGCGTTTCTAGGGGATTTGCTGACAGTATCGCGGGCCAGGGTGAAGGGTTCCAACTGTCAGTTCGAGTTCCCCCCCTGTCTTGGGAGCTGGAGGGCAGTCGTGGGGGCCTCGTTGGCCATCTTTACGCTCTCGAGGCCGAGAACGTGGAGAACATTAAAAAACATGAGTACTGCAGCACAGCGCTGTTCTGTGCTTTGGCACGGTGTGCTGACCACTTGGGCCTTCGAAGCACCCCGCGGGACCCCCACGGAAGCACGAAGATGAGCCCTTGGGGCCATCTTGGGCATGTTGAGTCTGGATTTCGAGCTTTGCTCTCAAGGCTTGTGGAAAAGGCACGCGGCACGCCCCAGGAGCGCCCAGGATTGCGCTAACATCGCGTCACAGAATTCAATGATGACGACTCGAACGAGAGGCCCCAGGACAATCCACTCGGTGCCTACGGCGCGTTGGTAGATACTTGCCCGCCCTCCCCTTCGTCGCCCTCCTCCGCCTGTGCGCTCTTCGATCCTTGCCCCCCCCCCCCCCGCGTCCCGCGCCTTCCCACCGTTTTGCCCCTTCCTGCCGCTCCCTTTGTTCGTGTGTCGTCCCTCTCCTTTGTCGTGTTCTTGTGCTCCCGCCCCGCCTGTCCCATCCTTCCCCCTCTTCTCGTCGTCTCCCTCCATTCCCATCTCCATCTCCCCCTCCATCGTACCTATTACCCTTCCCCATATGCGGCCCTCCCTACAGTAGTCCTTCCCCTGCTTGTCCTATCCCCTCCGCTTTTGCTTGTCTGCCCCCCTTGTCGCACTCAACGTATTGTCCCCTCCCCTTGTCGTCGTGTTACCCCCTGCTCATCCCCACGTGCCTCTCCCCTCCTTCCCCTCCTTCGCCTGGCCTCCGCCCCCCTCCCTCCACCTTCCCCACTGCCCTTCCCTTTCCGCTTCTATGTTCCTCAAGACGGGCCAGCGACAATGGCCACACGGCTTCAGTCAACGATCTTGTTTAGTTGACAAGCGGTTGTTGGTGAGTTCATGCATTTGGCGTAACGCAAATCACATGAAAAGTTACCAACCTACAAGTACGAGCACCCGCGTAACAATTTGACATCACAGCAAGCATGCCATGTGCTATTTAAATGCGTGCTACTGTGATATGGCATAGTTTGTAACGCAACGCGTCTAGCTATCAACGCCTGGGTGAACATGATAAGTATGCATCGATGTGCTTTCAGTTTAGGCCCTTACCATCTTTCGGGTCAGCGTATGTATGCGCCGCATGTTTGCACGCGCCAATCTGCTTGGTATTTTACACCAGTGTGCACCAGGGGTTAACAATCGTGTTTCAGCCATTGTACTTTATCATCGGATTACAGTGGTAGACCATGTAGGTTCCGGCCCTCTGCTCCATTACTCCTTTGCGCCATACTATTTCCAGTTTGTGTTTGAATTGGAGGGGCAGAGCGTGGAGTGTAGAGGGTAGAAAGTAGACAGGGTCGCCCTTCCCACCCCCCCATTCCCCCTATTCCCACTTCTCCCCATTCCCCCCCATTTCTCTTCTCCCTTTTCTCCACCTTGCCTCTCTTCCCCCCTCCTTCAACCTCCCCTTTCATTCCCGCCCTCCCCTCCCCTTGCCCGTCCATTCCCTTTTCCCTCTCACCCACGTCCGTTTCTAGCCCGCTGTCGTTGCGCGAGGGCTACGAGGAGGTCCACGTGAAGCCCTACAAGGCCCCCGAGATGAACCCGGAGGAGTGGTCCGTTCTCAGCTCAGCGCCAAGGGCGGATGTTTCGAAAAGACGAGAGGTTGTTTCTCGAAGTTGCTTGTCTGGTGTCTTGAGCCACTTTGCCTCCAGACGTTCGTTCCCGCAATGCTGGCAATCTTCAGTCAGTAGCATACAGGATGGCGCAGGATGAGAACAAAGAGGAGGATAGTGACGAACAGGGGGAGGAGGAGATTCATGATGATGATGATGAGGAGGAGGAGGAGAAGGAGGAGGAGGAGGATGGAGAGGAGAAATAATGAATGAATGAAAGCGAGTCTGTCTGCCGGCTGACGCAACTTCAGGCCTTGTCCAGATTTGCAGGGCTCGAAACGCGATTATTGTATGGGTGCGGTATCCCCAGTATCTCCTTCAAACACCACTGGATAGCCCTAGCCGAGCCCTCGCGGACGGCGCCCAGGGGCCCGGCGGACGACCATGCTTGGTGTTCCTCGGATTGGGATCGTAACTGGAGCGGGCGAGGCCACACTCAGGATAACGAGGAGCGCTGGGTCTGTGGCTCTGCGGACGGCAAGCGCAAGAAGCATCCATCCTCGAGCAGCCTCTGCAAGCACTGCAAGAGGCCTCACGGTGCTGAAGTGGAGGTTGCCAACGCTCCAGGTCATGTTTGGACGGCGCCACCTCCAGGTGGGAGTCGAGCACCAGAACCCGACTGACACCCCTTCATTGCAGCAGTTGGTTGCCATCGGGGAGAAGTACGGCGACAGTGACGCAGTTGTTCACTACAATATTCTTCTACGTCGGAAGCGGGAGGAGCTGCGCCCACAGCCTGAGAAGCCACTCAATCGTCGTGCACAGGAATCCCAAAATCGTGTTCAAGTCCTGGAGCGTCGACTGGAGCGGGAGCTGGGGGAGTTGCAGAAGGCATGCAAGTGGCTTGCCGACAAACGTGTCGCTATCAACGGTAAGCTACAGGTTGCATATTCCAATCAAAAGCAGCTGGTGGTTAGTTCGAATGATGAAGTCAGCAGACCAGCTCCCCCTGGTTCGAAGGCCAAGATCGGCATTCGTGAAGTTGTCAAGTGTGACCTGTCCTGCATCGGCGTCGACGCTGGCGACCTTCTGCAGTTTTCAGCCGATGAGCACGAGGTTCAAGCGTCTGACGTGGAGGCCACCGATTCTCGCAAGGCTGAGCTCGGCAAGGCAATCGGAGTTATGGTCAAGCAAGCGTTTGGAGATATTCTCAGTAAAGTCGATCCAAATCAAAGCCACCGATCGGGAACATGCCGATCGCTTGCAGAAGAAACGCAAGAAAACTGACGGGGCGGCGGCCGCTCCTGCGACAGGCGGTGCTCAGTCTTCGGCTCACAGCCAGTCTCCGGCAGGTGCACATCCTTCCAGTCCAGCTGCGGCGGTGGGCGAAGGAGAAGACGCTGGAGCGGGGGCCTATGCCAGCAGGCCTGACGCGCGCGAGCGGGCTCAGGCTGCCCTTCGTGAACAGGATCACCTACAGCAGCAGCAGCAGCAGGTCCGCCCCCTGGCAGTCGAAGGGAAGCTCGTGCCGGACCAGCTGCCTGAGCGTGCAGGGGGACACGGGTCTCCACGCCAACTTCGGCCCGTGCCCAGTTGAAGCCCTGTATCCAGTTTCTGCCGCCTTCCCCTTTTCACCTCTGTGCATTCGTCGGAGAGCGTCCTTGGGTCCCGGGCCAGCCCCGAATTTTGTGGGCTCAACATCGACGCCATGAATGCCTCTAGGGGGGGGTCCGCGAAGGCTTGGATACAGCGCGCAACAACGAGCATACGTTTGTTACAGGACATACGCTGATCTCCGACGATTCGCTCGCTGAGGCCTCGGCGTGCTCGGTTCGGGCGCACGTTGACAGGTCCTTTGGGAGGTCTCCCTGGTGGGGCAGGGGTCCTGGTCCGTGATTTGTTGGTCTGCCGCGAACCTGGGGGTGGTTGTTGTCGTGGTGCCAAGGCGCGCGATCCATATTTGGGCCCAGATCCCTGGGGCGCGTGATTGCCTGGCTTCTCGGTGTACCTGGTGGGCTCCGAAGGCCGGTCCGAATCTAACTTAAATACTCGCGCGCGGCCAGGTACCGCTCTCAGCAACAAGGTGCGCTCCTTCGTGGTAGGAGGAGATTTCAACATGGAACCGCAGGAGTTGGCCGAGCGCGCTTTCGCGACAGGCGCACAATCGCGCGCCATGGCTCCTGAGGTGCAGGGGGCATGCACCAGCGCGTCAGAAGAGGGTGTCCGCCTCCTCGATTTCTTCGTGGTCCGTTCAGGTCTTGCCAAGGGTGTACGTAACGTGAATATGGAACTAGGGCTTTTCCGCCCTATCTGCCCGTTTGGTTCTGCCACGTGTTTTCTGATTATGCTAGTTTTCTCGTGTCCCGTCCTTCTCCATTCCCCTTCCATCCGTCCTTTTCTCCCCTGTTTCAGGGGTTACACAACATTCGCGTGACAGGCAAGGAGGGCACACCTTCAATGGGGCACAATCGAAGACGAAGAGGGCGGGTACCGAAGGTGGTGCTGTTGTTTCTGGTGTTGGTTTTGTCGTTGGTGTGGTTATTGTTGTTGATCCTGTTGTTAGCGGTGCGGTACGTGCAGGGACAACATCGTATTCAAGGTGAGTCAGCTTGCTGGCCGGTTCAGCGTCTTCTTCCTTTTCCTCCCTTCCCCCTTGATTGTAAATTGTTTTACACATTTGTCCGCGCCGAGGCGCGACCGCCCCGCCCCTCGTAGGGCCGTCCCTCGTGACGTGAGGGCGCAGTGTCAGTGTCAGTGTCAGATCTTGTTGTTAGTGTCGTTATTGTTGTCGTTGTGGGTGTTGTGGTTGTTTGTTGTTGTTGATGGTGTTGCTGGTTTTGCTGTTGTTGTTGTCATTGTTGTTGTTGCTGCTGGTGCTGGTGGTGGTGTTGTTGTTGTTGGTGTTGGTGTTGTTGTTGCTGTTGGTGTTACTGATGTTGCTATTGTTGGTGTCGTTGTTGTTGTTGGTGGTGGTGTTGTGGTTGTTGTTGCTGCTGCTGGTGCTGTTGTTGGTATTGTTGCTGCTGCAGTTGCTGTTGCATATTCATTTCTAGAAAATGGTTATTTCCGAGATCAGGAAACGGTTCCGGGCGCTCTCGTCTTGACACCGGCTACATTGAAAACGAGGCTCCCGCTCGAGCGTTGGCATGAGTGTACAAGTGGGCTTTTGGAGGCCAAGCTACGACGATTACGGTTCCCGTTCGAAATTTCTTCGCAAGTTACCCCGAGACACCCTGGCCAGAGAGGCTCCCGAACTCAGGAACGGCGCTCTCGCTCGAGTTTTTGTTCGCAGTTCAGTCAAGTTGGCGTGGGCCCAGCCACGACGACAAGGGCTCCTGCTCGATACTCCCTCACGATCTACTTCGAGAGCCTCTGGCCAGGAAGGCCCCCGAACTCGGGAATGGCGCTCTCGCGAGACTTTCTCATGATTCAGTCAATTGGTGGAGGACCACATGCGACGACAAGGGCTCTCGTTCGACACTTCCTCAAGATGCATTCGCAGAGGCCCTTGCCAGAGAGGCCCCCGAAGTCAAGAGTTGCGCTCTCGCTCGAGACGCTCTCGCCATTCAATCAATTCGGTGGAGGTCAAACTGCGACGACACGGGATCCCGTTCGATATTTTTAAAAATGGACTCCGAGAGCCCTGGCCAGAGAGGCCCCCGAACTCAGGAACGGCGCTCTCGTTCAGAGGTCAGTGGCCGAGAAGGAAGAGATTCCCCCCAGAAACGGGTACACTCGAAGACGAATTGGGCGGGTATCGAGGGTTGGGGTGTACAGTATACAGTATGCAAGATACGCGTGCCAGTAAGAGCGAGCAGTAGTATAATGATCGTTGTTGTCGTTGGTGGTGTTAGTGTTGGTGGTGTTGTTGGTGTTGTTGTTGGTGGTGGTGGTGGTGGTGGTGGTGGTGGTGGTGTTGTCTTTGCTGTTGATGTTGCTGTTGCTGTTGTTGTTGTTGTTGTTGCTGCCGGTGCTGCTGTTGTTGCTGCTGTTGTTGACTGTCCTTGATGCGGTAGGCAGGGCTGGCGGGCGGCAGACCCGGGAGTCACAGCAGTCTTACTTTTGTGATAAAGCAACACATCACCAGAGTTCCCCGAACAACGTGTCCAATGGTTTTTCGAGGCTAATCTGAGTATGACTGTCCCAGCTTCCAAGGCCCGAGCGGAAAGAGAGCGTCAGTCGTGGCACTTTGCTTGAAATGGGAGGAGGAGGAGGAAACGAAGGATGCGGAGAACAAGCAGGGCTCGGAGGACAAAGGGAGGAGGAGCTGGAGGGACCGTATAAGCAGGAACAGGAAGAGCAGCGGGGCGAAGCGCGGACGGGAGCCGCCCGAGGACATGGTGCCCATCTCCAAACTTCCTGGTTGGTGCAAGGAGGCCTTCCCGGGCACCACCAAACTGAACTACGTCCAGAGCAAGGCTCCGCCAGACGGGGTGTCCCAGACCTCCAGGCGTTGTTAAAGCAACACGTGTTGTTGCCAGTTGCTGTATTTGGTGGCCAATTTCGGGTGTCGGGGCCATCAAAAAAAAAGGCCCCGAGGTGGAACAATTCTCTCCTGGGATGGCATCGAAGGTTCCAGGGGCCTGCGTTGTGGAAAATATACGACGCGGAAGGTGTGGGGTGAGGCACGCCATTTCTTTCATTTGCTGCTGTTGTTCCTGCTCCCGCTTCTTTTTCTCCTCCCCCCCATTCCCTTGCTTCTCCCCCCCCTGCTCCTCCTGCCTTTCATTGTGATTATCCTGCTCGTTCGCCAGCTACCCCTCCCGAGCTCCCACGACAACTCCTGAAACATTCCCACTGCCGCCCTCCTTTTCATCCCTCCTCGACGTCCTCCTCATCCTTCTCTGCCGACTTCTGCTGCCCCTCTAATGAGTTCGGTGCAGCTCTATTGGGGCACCGTTTGGCGAGCTGGGACCAATTCCAAAAGGATGGTCAGGAGAGTGAAAAAGGGCGAGGCGGTGGAGGAGGAGGAGGAGGAGGAGGAGGAGGATTAGGCGGATCGTAGGGGGAGGACGGCGACTCGTTGACGGGGGCAGGTCGGTCATGAGGAAGTGGTAAGAGAGGAAAAGGGGAAGGAGGAGGAGGCGGAGGAGGAGGAAGAGGAGGAGGAGGAAAAGGATGAGGAGGAGGATGAAGAGCTCAAGCCACTGCCTGGCCGGGCTCTGTCTGATCGCTCTCCCTTCTCTCTTACCCTTGTGCGTGTCTCCGCCAACCATGGCGCGCCATAGAATGGACCCTCGTCAAAGGCCGCGGCGGCAAACGCGGCGCCAGCCGCCCCGTCCAGGAACCCCCGCAGGAGTTTTTCGCGCGCCTGCGCCGGCAGCCGCCGCAGTGCAAGCCAGAATGGCAGCGCGCGCGCAGCACTCCAAATTTCACGGGTCGCGAGGAATGCCACCATCCATTGCACTCCGCCGTAGGCTGGCTGCCCGCCTGGGGAGCCCGCCGCGATAGGCTCCCCGCCGCCCGCGCGTGATGAGTGGGGCGATTCCGCGCTCAGGACCCCGGACGGGAACACTTCCGCGGCCGTGCGCCGCGACAGGGCCCCAGGGGAGGCCGTCGAACCGCTCCTGGAGGTGGAACGGGCCGCTCGGCAGCGGAAGGTCGAGCAGCGCAGCTTGGACCGCATGGACAATTCCCGAGCGGTGGAGACCCGGGTGGGTGTCGCGACGGCCGCAGCCGAACACACCGTTGGCAGCGAAGGAGCACCTTGAGGACGCCCGTGCGAAGGAGGAAACCGCCGCCCGCGCTTAGAAGGGACCCCCCGCTCGCGCAGGCTACCCAGGAGTTTTTGGATAAGCTCGTTGATGTTTGCCAGATTCGCGAACCCGTGCCAGAACCCGTGCTCGCGGCAATGACTGCCACGCGCGCGGTCCTCGCAGCGGTCCTGCCGCTGCCCGCCACCCCCAGGGTGGACGCACCGCTGGAACCAGACCCCGCCAGGATATTGCGGCTCCGTCTTCTGAATCTGACACTCCTCTTAGCTCTCTGCGAGCTATCTGCTATCCGGGAATGCCTGGAACTATCCGGGAACATGCAGAAATGCTTGAGGCGCGCGCGTTGGGAATGCGTAGGAAAACGCTTGCCTGAACACGCTGATACTTCAAGCAAGGCGTTGCATTGCGGCCCGTCGCATGCGGCACTCGCAAGTTTTGCCTCCTGCCGGCCGGCAAGGAAAAAGGCCGACGGACGTCAAACTGCCAGGTTCGAGGCGGCCCCCAGCACCCCAGCAGGACGATGGAATGGAGGCACCCTGGCGCCCGCTGCAGCCCCAGGCTTCGCAGGACGCGCCAGCGGCGCTTCCAAGCACCCTCCGCGACGCGGCAACCTTCCCCGCCTCCTGGCCGTGTTGGCCGGAGTTTGGCCCTGAGGCCAGCTCCCAATCGGCCGGAGCTACGCCATGTCACGCGGCAGTCCGAGCGGAGCGGAGTTCGGAACCCTGGCAGGGGGGGGCGCGTTCAGGCAGGGGAGGCGCGGTGCCTCGCCTGCCGGACAGGCGCAACCCCGCCGAAACGCGCGCCGAGTGCGATGGGGTTGGGGCTGACGGCTGGCTGCGTTATATAGGCTTGGCTGCGATCCCTTGCGCTGCCATCGCCGGGCGCTCCGCCGGCCGCGCTGGCCGCGACAGTTGCCCTGACGAGCGGCGAGCCGCCGGCGCCGTGTCGGGGGGCGCGCTGGGGGCCAGCCCCGCTCTTGCTCTCGCTTTCGGGGACATTGGGGCCGCCGGCAGGGCCGGGCTCGGCGGCGTCGGTTCGGCTCCGCTGCGCTGCTCCGCGCTGCGGGTCGCGCCTGGGCGCGCCTGGGTAGCGGCCGCGCTGGCCGCCGAGAAACTCTGCAAGGTGGCCCCCTGCGCTTCGGCGGGGGGCGCGGGGAAGGAACGGGCCCATAAGTTCCTCGCGCTGCGGGGTCGTCTGTCGCTGCCCCCCTGCGTTTTGACGCGAACGGCTGGCTGCGCTCGGCGCTGGAGATGTTGGGCCGCGCGCAGCTCGCGCGCGAGCGCTGCCCCTCGCTGCTCCGGGGCGGCCGGGAAGAACAGCTCCTGGTGACGGCCATTGGCATGGCCCAGAGCGCGATGCCCGCCAGCGGGCAGGCGGGGCCACCCTGGGCGAGCGCCCGCAGACAAAGCAGCGCTCCCTCGCAGACGAGGTGGCGCGGAAAGCAATGGTCGGAGAGTATGCCCGAGCCGCCGCTCTGCTCAGGCTTGGCGCCGTTCGCCGTCGAATCAGCAGGCCAGCCCCCGGCGTTCCTTCAGCCGCGCCCCGCTGCTGCGCCGCCCTGGCTGCCCCCCGCACGGCCGCCCGCTAGGCCGCCGCAGCTCTCTTTGGGTTTTTTCTTTTGGCCATCCGGGGCATGCGCCGGAGGCGAGCGGTTCGAACGTTGGCGGGTCGCGTTCGCCGGGCCAACAGCACGCCGCCTTCCGCAGCATTGCCGCCGGCGAAACTCGCGCCTCTGCGGAATCCAGGCGGCTAGAGACCGCCAGCTGGCGCGGCCTGGCGGCTCTGCTGCACCTCCGCGGCCTGGCCTGGGAACAGGTCGCGGCGCCGGCTCTGGGCGGCGACGCCGCGGCGGAGGCTCTGCCAGGGCAGCCGGCGGCCTGGCGGGTCGGGGAGCTGCGGGCGTCGCCCTGCTCTTGGGTCGCGTCGTCGGTTGGCCCGGACAGGAGGCCCTTTTGCAGAAACATCCGAACGCGAGAAAATCAAGAACCTAGTTTTCATGAATGCGCGAACATTGATATACATATCTATATATGTGTGTGTGTGTGTGTGTGTGTGTGTGTGTGTGTGTGTGTGTGTGTGTGTGTGTGTGTGTGTGTGTGTGTGTGTGTGTGTGTGTGTGTGTGTGTGTGTTGCGCGCGCAATTGTTGTGCATCTTAGCTGGCGCTTCGCTCGCATAGGAGGGGCGCCCCACTTATCTTCCGCGAGCCAAGAGCTATTTGGCATGCTGCTCCAATGCAGTTTGCTTTGCATGCGGACGATGCGCCGCCGCCGATCGGCCTGCAGGGCGGGCCCAGGTTGGCCCGGGGAAACGCGTCGACGCCGGCGCGATCGCAGGGGCCCCCGCCAAAGGACCCCGGAAGGGCCCGGAGGGAAGCTCGAGAGGCCACCCGCCAAAAGGATCCATCCTCCCGGGGCCCTCTCCCCTCGGGGGCCTTCCCGAAGTCCTCCAGAATTTCGGAATGGGCACCCAGACGGCCCGAGAGGGTTCCAGAGGGGCCCCCGTGGGCCGCCCGGCGGTGGACCCTCTGGATTCAGAGACTTCGGCTGCGTTTGCGCCTGCTCGGGGCTTGGCCGCGACTTTGGGGGCGGGTCGCGGGGGGCCCTGGAGGCGCCCCAGAAGGGCCCAAGAAGGGCCTGAAAGGGTCCAAAGAAGGGCTCCCGACAGTGGCAACTAGAGGGCCTTCTTGGGTGCTAGTGGTGGTGCGGGGGGTTCTGCTTGGGCTCTCTTGGGCCTCTTGGAACCTCGTTGAATTAATTCTCTGGGGGCTCATGCGGGACTTCGGGGGGGCTTCGCTGGGGCCCCAAGAAGAGGGCCCCGCGCGGCCCCGGGGGGAGTCCGAGAGGGCTCCGAGGGCGTTCCAAGAGGGCCCCCCCAAAGAGGCGCAAAGCACGTGCACGAGTGTGCTTCTTTCTGCCGGCCTCCGGGCGCAATCTCGGGCCCCTTCGGGCCCTCCCGGAGCCCTCTCGAGCCGCCCAGGGGCCCTTTTGGAACTCTGGGGGGGGCTGCTTCGGGAAGGCCCGGGGAGGAGTCCAACAGGGCCCCGGGAGGATGAGGCCCTATGGCTTTGTTTTGAGCTAGCGTTGCGCGGATCTAGAAGTGATTCTCCGGCCCCTCTCAGGCCGCCTCGGGGGGGGGGTGGGGGGGGGGCGGCGCGCGGCGGGTGGGGGGGCGGCGCGACGTCGGTGAGCGAGCATTGTCCCTGCGGGCGGCGGTAGGCACGGTTGTCTTGCAGGGCGCCGCGATCATTCGGCAGGGGCCAGGCGTGACCGGCGTCCTGATGAGGGCCGACGACGACGAGGGGCGCCCAGAGACGCCCTTAAATTAGGCGCAGTGTGAGGGCTTCTCGTCGGCATTAATTTCTGTATTTCGGGATTTCTGAATCGCGTTTTACCAAAATATCTGATATATAATAGATGTCGCATGTCATGGCGCAGTGAGAATAGTTTGTGCATTTCGTTGGTTTTGTTGTTGTTTGCAGAATCTGCAATATAAATATTTTACAAAACCGATCGTTGCTTCAAAAGTTGCTATATATATATATGTTTTGAAAACGCAGCGGTTCAGCTGGGAGAAATTGCATCTGGGCTGTTGTGCAAAACGCGCGCGCCCGCATTCACCGGTGCCGCGTCGAGAGCCTTGGAGGGCCCGAGGGGCCCCAAGACTGGTTCGTCATTGCAGCGAGCAGATCTCATGGGCGCAAGAAGGAGCCCGCGCGGGGGCCCAAGACTGCCCCGCGCGCATTCCGTGGCTCGGGGGCGCTCTCGGGGCCGACTGGGGCCCCCCCGCGCCCTGCGCGCCGCCGCGGAGGCCGCTGGGCGGCTCCGCGAGGCCAGGAGCGCTCCGAAGAGCCATCTCCCCTCGGGGCCCTATCAGGCGTCTTTGGCTCCCAGAGGCCCCCTCTCAGCGCCCCTGGGGGGCCCAGGGGGAGGCCCTAAAGGGGCCTCCCTGTCGAAGACGAGGGCCGCCATCTTGACCGCAGGGGGCCCCTCTCGGGGTCTCTTGGGGCCCTCTCGGGGCCCTGCCTCGCAGGGCCTGTCCGGGTTTGGCGCGGCCGGGTGCGACCGGTTCGGCCTGCGCAAGGTTGGGCTCGCTTGGTCGGGGATTCGCGTGCTTCTGTGGAATTTGTCGCATCAGTCGCGCTGTCGCGACAGTGCGTTTCAGCATCGGGCTGGGGGTCAAAAAGCAAAGTGGCGCGTGCCCGCGTTGATCCTCGCCCGTTCGAAATTGCGCGGGGAGCGGTATCAAAATTGGAGCGCCGAGGAACACATGTCATTCGCGCGCGTGGCCGCGCGAGAGAAACCGCGAGAGGGGACTGCTTACTGGTTGGGCGCCCGGGCGCTGAGCAATTTTGCGTACCATGGGCCTGTCGCGCGCTGCGGCGGCCCTGCTTCCGCGGCAGCTGACGCCCGCTGCGACCCCCGCCCCCCGGGATCCAATCAGCAATGCCATTGGAGGCCAGCGCGCGGATCCACGGGCGGCTAGCGCGCGCCGCGGCTTTCGCGGGACGCGCGGTCCACCATGCGCCCCTTGGCAGGGGCGCTGGTGTGCAACTTGCACTGTCGTCCAAGTTTCGGCGCAGACGGTCTCTCGTTCATTACAAGGCAGGGCGCAGACATGACGTCAGCGAAAACAGCGGGCGTTGCCCGAACTTTCGGGCAACGGCGTTGCAACGACCACGGCAGTGTCAGCGGAAGCACGCATCACTCCTGCAATTCATTCCTGGTCCGTGCACGTGCCCAGTTCAAACGCTCGCGCCATGCGAAACGCGCACTCGTTCTCCGTATCCGGATGGTTTTTGTGAAAGCTAAGTTGTGTTTGGTAAGATAGGTGTCTCGGAAGGGCAGAAACCTGCTGTATAATTTTCCGTATTTCGAACAAAACACATATGTTTGGTATTTTTCACATTTAATCATTTTGCATATATGGTCCTGTGTGGGTCCGCCCGGCAACACATATCTTTTTGGCCAACGCTGGGCAGCTGCGGACTGCGCTCAGCGCTGGCCGCGATGGCCAGGCAACTGAAATGCTCGCCGACGCGGCGGCGTAACCAGCCGGTTCAACGTGGAACTCTACCCAGTCGCCGCGTTGCCCTTCATGGTCGGGGTCCGCGAAACGCGGGCGTCGGCATAGACCAGATTTGGGCGTTTCTTCGAGGGGACGGAGAGAGGAGAGAGGCAATGTAAGCGCGCTCGCGCCATATCTGAAATCCCACCCCCCCCACCCCACTGCGTTATTTTCTCTCCTCTCTGCCGACTCGTGTCGTAGAGGGCCCAGAACTCCAAAGAGGAACCCGTCGTGTTATGCGCAATCGGGACAACATGGAGTTGTATACATTGGAGGGGGGAAGTAGCAGATGAGCAAGAGCAGGAAGGGGAGCAGGAGGAACAGGAGGAGGATGATTGAGGAATGGGACGGGGACGCATCGCATCAGCAGGAACCCGGAGTGGAAGGAACCGGAAAAAACATGATTACAAGGGGAAAGCGGAGAACGGAAATGATGAAGACGACAATTATGAAAACGATCGTGAATTTGAGAAGTGGCCCGCGCTGTGGCGATAACATCTTTTTGGTTGGCGGGGGCAAAGCGCCCATCCCGTAATTTGGCCCATGCTGCAGCTGGAACACATTTTTGAAAACAATCGGATTGTACACGACCTCAACGCTTGAAACTTTCTGCATGCAAATCTGTACGCGGAGAGGGCCGAATATCTGATGGGCGGTGTCAGCGGAAGGGGGTCTTCATAATGTGTAATTGTATGGAGGACGATGATGATGATGATGAGGAGGAGGAGGAGGAGGAGGAGGAGGAGGAGGAGGGGAGGAGGAGGAGAGAGGAGGAGGAGAGGAGAGGGAGGAGGAGAGAGAGGAGGAGGAGGAGGAGGAGGAGGGAGGGAGGAGACAGGAGATTGAAGAGGATGATGACATGTGGACCACGGCAAGCGCGTTGCGCTCGCGTCACATGATGTCAAGGCACACATTCCCTCGCATCCTTTACCATTGCGTATAGCCCCTTTGCATCACTAGGATGTCGAAAAGAACAGCGATCTTCAATGGGCGCAGGTTGCATAGCATGGCAGCGCATTGCGTAACCCAGCATAGCTTTGCAGCGCAACGCATTGCATTGCTTCGCGGGGCTCAGCAAACCATTGCATAGTTTGGCAGTGTGTAGGAATCTGAGGCCCTATGGACGGGAACTTGTAACTATGATCCCTTTCCCCTGTAGGAGTGCGAGGCTGTAGTGTAGGCATGGGCAGGGGATGGGTAGGAGCATGCAGCATGTAACATTGAGCATTGTGCACTGTCATTCATAGCCTTCTGATCGCTTTAGTTCATCTCCCCCATCACTCCAAATCCTTTCTGCATGGCAGCCGAGCCGTGACAAGTCTGCGATTGAGCTCATCACCAACATGGAGCAGCAGATGGCAGAGATCCTCCGGGGAGTGCAGCAGACCTGTGCACATCTCACGCAGCAGAACGAGCAGCTGCGCCAGACGGTCGCCCAGCAGAACGACTTCATAGGCCGAGATTCAGGCGCTGCGGGAAGGCATGGCCGCGCAGAGCAGAGTTTCAGAAGAGGCCCTCGGCAGAGGACGACGATCGGACGGTGTCGTCAATGTCAGCAAGGTTGGGAAGCGAGAGGCACTCCGAGGCAGCACCAAGTAGGAGGTCAGGAAAGCATGGCCCGATTGGTCATATACCTTCGAGACTTGGTTTTGCTCCCAGTTCGAATGCGGAGCAGACGTTCTCAAGTGGGCCCAAAATCTGAACGACAAGGACTTGGATCCAGATGCTGTTTTGGAAGCTGTGCAGCAGAATTCGGCTTGGAACGAGATCATTAATCCATTGTCTCGGGAGTTGCACGTTTCGTTGATAGCCCTCTGCAAGGATGATGCTTTGAGTTTGGTGAAGAACTCCATCAAAGGTGCGACCATGGGGCTCGATTCCTGGAGCAACTAGCAACCAGAAGTTGCTCAGGCGACTCACGCAACCCGAGCGAACATCCTTGGATGGATTGCGCCGGACCTTGGAGGAGTGGGAGGCAGACCTCAGGGAACACAGGGACCGCACAGGCAAGGACCTGGAGTACGACCAGAACGTTTTGAGTCTCCAGGATATGTGCCCGGAGTACTTCCACACCTTTCTGGAACTCCATGCTGTTCGCCTCACGACCTACGTCTCCGTCAAGAAAGAGGCGCAGTTTTTATGGATATTTGACAGTTTGCGTAACGCTAAAGGCAAAGGTCGAAAGGGCCAGCGTGAGCAGCCTCACGGCGAGGAGTCGTGCCCCCATTGCCAGAAACGGATCACGGCGAATCACGCTGCTTTGAATTGCTGATTCAACCCCAGGAACAGGAAGCCCGAAGCCGTTGCCAAACGAGCAGCGAAAGCCAAAGCAAAGGCCTCCCCAAAAGGTGACAAAGGAGGCGCAGGCAAGGGCAATGGCAAGGGGTTGCACTCTCTCGACGAGCAGGAGTGGCCAGAAGAGGCAGCCGCCGAAGGCGAGGAGGACGCGCTCTTCGTGCTCGAACAAGCCGAACGACGTCCCCGGCGTCGGCGGCAAACGACCTTCTCAGCCATCCCAGAGGGACCTAGCACTGGGTCGGCGCAGACTTGTGGCGTGGAGCCGTTTCGGCCCACGCCCCCGCCGCAGGGGCCCGAGGCGCTCGCTCAGGCGAGCCGCGCTGCTCGTGGAGCGCAGGATCCAGACCGCGATGCGATGCTGAACGCCACTGAGTATTGCACGCGGGCGGCTCTCGGCAGCAACATTCGGAGGCTCAACGGAGAGATAGCGTTGGAGCAAGACCAGGCCAAAGCAGACGAGTTCCGGAGGCACCGCGACACCGCCATTGCGCGGTGCCGCGCTGACTTCGCCGCGGGGCCCGGCGCGAATTTTTCGAAGAAGAAGAAGTTGAAGAGCACGATCCGTGCTGAGATCCATCGAATGGCCACTGGTGCCTCGCGAGCCGCAAAGCACCGTGAGGCCACAGCGACCAGCGCGACCAGCGCGGTGGCAATTTTGACGGCGACCGCCCCGACCTGCAGCCGTCGATGGCGAGGGGGCCGCTCAGCCAGCCGGCGCAGCGACCCCACTTGAGCGGCGACGCGGGCCGCCAGTATTTCCAGCGACGCAATTGGCAACGCGCAGAGCGCCCGAGGCCAAGGTCAAGCGAGCTGCGAAGCGACAGTGGGCGTGGGGGGCGGAACAGACTGGGAGACGCCAGGGCGCGAGCGGGTCTGCCTTGGCACCTAGCCGCGGCTTGTCGGAGCCGCCGCGGGGGCAGCGCGAGAGCCGGCCGCCGCGGGGGCAGCCCGGGGGCCAGCTGCCGCGGAGCGGCAGCTACCCTGACCTGAAAGTCCCGCTGGGGGACAAGACTGGCGACGCGGTCTTCAGCCTGAAGCAGCGAGCAGAGGCCGAGCGGGGGCGCGTCGACGTCGGAGTCGATTCGCGCGCAGCCACCAGCTGTATCCCTGAGGACAACGCAGCCAGCTGGCCGCTGCTCAGGAGCACGGGGCCACCACCTACACGAGCGCTGCCCGATATCCGGTGGAGGTGCTCGGCGCACGCAAGCCGCTGGCGCGGTTCCAAACACTCGTCGCTCGCATGCAAGCCGTTGGTGCTCGCCGCTCGCAAGCCGCAAGACGACTCCCAACGCTCTGTGACTCTGAGGGCGCTTTGTCCGCTGCGCATGTCTCTGTTCGCCTTCAGCGAGCTGATCACGTCCTGCAAGGTTGCGTTCGACGCTGAGGAGCACGGCGGCTCGCGCATGGAGAACAGTGGGACCGGCAGCAATATCCAGATCTATCAACGCAACGGTGTCTTCGTCATCCCGGTCTGTCTCAAGGTGAAACCGCCCGCGAAGATGATTGCAGCTCAGTGGGGGGATCGGCTGGAGACCGACCCTTTCACGGGGCTGCCTCTGAAGGCGCAAGGCCAGAGACCGGCGCGGTGCAGGATGCCGTTTCGGCAGCTGCCAGTCATAACCGCGCTGGGCGGAGCCCCGCTTCGGCGCCTGCCGCAGGCCAGCCCCGCCCCCCGATGGTCGACGAGGCGCCGCTGCAGCCCGCGGAGGAGTCCGAGAGTTTGGCGCGCGAGCCTCGCGACCCGGAGGAGGACGCCGAGGCTGGATGGCCGAAGACCCCGCGAAGCCATCGCAGGCCGAAGTCGACCAACATAACGTTTCGCACTTATCGCGGTCAATCGGCCAGCCACTACCGCGCGGGCCAAGGCCAGGAGCAGATCTCCACCATCAAGACTGACCGCGTGTTCTTGGGCGACGCAGATTCGCCTGCCAACGAACTGCTTGTTCTCTGTGGCCGTGGCCGACAGAGAAGCGCGGCCTAGCCGCGTGCCTTGCAAGGGCGCGGAGGACCATCCCCGCGGCGCGAACCGTCTGAAGCTGTGGTTGGAAGAGACGGGTTACTCGAGTGATTGTCAAGTCTGACCAGGAGATTGCAATCGCGGCCGTCATCCGCGCCGCCAAGAACGCGCGGGCGGGGGAGCTCACCCCTGAGGCCGCTCCGAAGGAATCCCATGAGAAGTCCAACGGCGCGGCCGAAGTGACCGCGCAGCAGGTTCGCGGCTTGGCCCGGGCCCCCAAGGAGCAGCTTGAGGACAATGCGGGCGACGAGCTTCCCCGGAAGCATCCGGCGCTTGCTTGGTTGACCGGGCGCGCCAGCGTCTTGATCGCACTCCCCCTCTTGGGCAAGCGCTAGAGAGCGCCTTTGCCCGTGTTAAGGGAATGCGTAGAGTTTAAAGTGCAGGCCAGGCATAAGCTGGAGAGCCGATGGGCCCCGGGGGTCTATCACGGGATCCGGCGAAAGACGTCGGAGAAACTCGCTGGAACAGTTGGGCGCGCTTACGCGGCGCAGTCGGTCCGGGGGAGGCCGCGGGGCGAGGCTCGGGGCAAGGCCCTGCTGCTGTCTATCAGAGGGGCGCCGCGGCCGCCGAATCCGAGGGCGTCCGATGCCGCGGAACTGCCGCCGCTGATCGAACTGGCACCAGAGCTGCCCGATGTGCCGACCGGGCCCGCCGCAGCCCCCATGAGAAAGGGTGGGCAGAGGCGTCTCTACATCACCAATAGCGATGTGCATGGCCCGCGGATTGCCACGCAGCCGGATGCCCAGCGCGCGACGCGACTCGACTGGGCGCGCGAGGCGCAGGTGCGCAGCGCGCGCAGCAGCGCAGGGAGCGGATCGATATTATTTCGTTGAAGTCCACAGACCCTGCCCCCCTGGCTCGTTTCGAACGCCACCTGAAACAACGCATGAAGAGAGCGCAGGCTGCGGCAAAGGAGACCCCTGCAGACAGCGCCGCCCCAGCAGTTGCCCCAGCGGCGGCGCCGCCACCGCAGTCAGTCAGGAGCAGCGAGCTCAACGACGCCAGCCGATCGCGATTCGGCCCCATGCACAGGCACCGATGGAAGCGGAACGCGTTTCCACCGAGCGCTCAGCAGAGGGCGCCGCTTCGGCCCTCGCCCCGAGCGCCGCCCCTGCGTCGCCCGACGCCGACGCGCCCATGCCAGACGCACGTAAGAGGCGCGCTGGCGAAGGGGCGCCTCCTGACGCCTCCGGTGACCCATGCGGAAGCCTTATGGGCCTGGGCGGTCTCGATGCCGAAGGGGAGCGCTTCGGGCGCTTGGAGAGGGCGCGAAAATGCGTCATTGCCGCCATCGCAAAGAACGCCCTGGACACAGGCAACCCCCGCCCAGTTTGCGAGGAACCTGGGCCCTGGGATCGCGACGGCGCCTCCGACGCTTGGGATCGTGATTCCTGTTGGGAGCTCTTCTATGACGACGTCTCCGGCAAGCTTTTCGGCCCCGCCATGGTCCAGGAGGCAAGGGCGTCCGAGATCCAGTTCGTTGACGACGCGAGGGCGCGGGGCATCGTTCCACGACCAGCTCGTTCCGATGGGTTCTTGGACGTCAGACGCGCACGTGTTGTTGCATTGGCACGGCGAGAAGTTTAC